TAGGCAAGGGATTGTGAAAGAAAGGGCATGGGGAGGGGTTGGGGGGGGGCGCTCTGGGCATATGGTTCAGCGGGAACAAGGATTGAAGGGCCACATTAAAAATACATAGTTCCTTTTAAAGAAGGACTCTTCCCTATACCTAGAGTCAGCGTATGACACAGCTTTTACATGTCGGCTCTATAGATCAAGTACTGAGTGATCACAAACCGCTGATCTTTCAGCTCATGACTTCTCCCTGCAGAGAGCGGTGACTCTCAGTCACCACTCCCCACAGGGATTCCCCTCTCTCTGTTCCTCCAGCACTCATTGGAGGGACAGACAGGGGAGGGGGCTGGCACAGCTGGCTCTAGAGAGGCAGAGGCAGCTGTCAATCATGCAGTAGGTTGGATCCCTACTGGTTGATTGACATCTGTCAACCTATAGTGGACAGTGGCCCACCAACCCCCCCGCCTCATGCGGTAAGAATTGTAGAGACACCTCTGATTGCAGCCTCCATATTCTTTCAGTACAGGTTTGCTTTAACCCATCTGTGTACAACCTGGTGGCAACTGAAACCAAGAATCAGAACTGCAAGGCACAAGTGCTTGGCAATTAGCCATCATGGTGTCCTTACCTTGTAACATTCCTCTGGCCTGAGCAGGTGACTGTGGTGTACTGTGGTTTGCCCAAGGCTGAAGTGCAATGTAAAGCAATACATGTGAATACTCTGTTGCCAGTTTGTGGAGAAAAGCAGTGCAAGATACAGGACATGTATAAAGACTACACTTTTACCCATTCTCATCTGCTGCTTCCTGCAGAAACATTTCAGAGAGGAAGTGCCAGAGCCTGTGGGCTTTGACATGTTAGTACAGTTTTCAGGAACTTGTCACACACTGTGAATATCTGCGGTCACAATAAATTAGTTTGCATTGTAATTGTTGTTTAATTGGCACACCACAAAGATTGTTATTGAACCAAGAAATCTAACCAGAAAGATGGCATAGCGGTGTCCCAAAAACACATATCCGTCAAGCAGCTGACATTGTAAAGAATGTAAACTTAGACACCCCCAAAATAATATTCTAATAACATGTTAAGGTTCTCTTAGTGAGGACACATTGACACTCTAAGCTAAACTCCTGTTTTTACAGAGAGGACACAGTGACACTCCAAGCTAAAATCCTGTTAGTAGAGAGAGGACACATTTACCAGAGCACCTGCTGCACTGTAAGTGGAAAGGGAAACTTAGTTACTTGTTTCTGAGGGAACTTCCTGTCAGTTACACACTTGTTCCCTCAGTGATGAGTGTCCTCCATTCTATTGCAGTTCATATTAAAGCACCCTAATTTCACCCAACTCCGATCGCACTGTGGAGTTTATTCGTCAGAAGTGCAACAACATCACCTTGTTTAGTAGAAATGAAAGAAAACTTTTTTTCTTGCTAGTTTTGGATAGAGTGGGAAGGAGTTAGATCCTCAAGTCAGATGTTTATTGCTACTGGTGTCCCCATTGGGTAGAGCCACCATCCTAAACTGTCATCATGACCATTAGGGCACATTCACACGGGTGTGCACATCCATAAGACATGCACGCCTGAGCTGAGTCCTGCTACTGGGAGGGACAGGTGTTATGGGTAATTGCATGCAGCCGCCTGCACTTTCCTTAGATGCAGAGTCCCTCCGCACTTGGATGCAGAGTTAGCTATATATCCTGCTCCATTGAGGAGCAGAGGGCCGAAGCGAAAGACTTCCACTGTTGACGGTTTCCAGCCTTTTGATCTGAACTGCAGCCAGGTCAGGTTCACGTCATCAGCCCCCTTACTATAAAAGGTGGGAACACAGTGTCAGTGTATTGGAATCTGCTATAGAGTAGATATGGTCTTGATGTCGAGTGCCTTGTGAAGCCCTGATTGGGTAAAGCAATGCACCTGACCACAGGTCAGGTGCAAGACTTTGCCCAATTACGGCACAGTGAGAGCCATGATTGGGCAAAGCAATGATGACTTTGCCCAATCATGGGTCACAGCAAAGTCCTGTCAGGTGCCGGACAAATGTAAACAGTTGGGCGGAGCTCGCGGTGATGTCACCACTAGCTCCACCCAATTGTTTATATTTTGCCGGAATCCGACAGTATGCCATTCTGCGGTGGGAGTTCGTCACGAGCAGACGGGTCAGTGGGCGTTGTTTTCCCCCCCTTTAGTTCCATTTCTTTTTTTTGTTGTTGTTGTGGACAATGCTGGACATCGTGATTCACCCTATGATTACGTCGGTGGATCCATTTTTTTTTTTAAAATAAAAGACTTGTCAAAAACTTGTCGTTTGTTTTTTAAGGGCGACCCTGGAAAAGCACCCTCCCAAATGCCGAGGGCATGTGGCCTGGTATGGCAGGGATCGAGGGGTGCTCACTTGACCTTTCATGTGCTTGGATTAAGGGTCTGGTTAGGAACTTTAGGGGGACTCCATGTTTTTTCCCCATTTGTGGGTGGTGGGGTTCCTCCTTAATATTCCTACCAGACCTTAAGGGCCTGAAATTACTTTGATGGGGAACCCTACGTGTTTTTTAAATTTTTTTTTATTCCTACCAGACCTAAAAGGATAGTACCTTCCATCCTTGGTCTGGAAAACATCTATGATAGTATCGTCCATCTTTGGTCTGGAAAACATGTAGGATAGTACTTTCCGTCCTTGGTCTGGAAAACATCTAAGATAGTACTTTCCATCCTTGGTCTGGAAAACATCTAGGATAGTACTTTCCACTCTTGATCTGGAAGAACATCTAGGATAGTACCTTCCACTCTTGATCTGGAAGAACATCTAGGATTGTACCTTCCATTCTTGGTCTGGAAGAACATCTAGGATAGTAGCTTCCATCCTTGTTACAGAAAACATTAGCAGTGGCATTTAGCTGTTGTAGCCTCTAGGTTAGGGGATGCACTCCGGCCAAGCTTATCATGCAAGTTGAGAGAGTCAACCAGTGTTCTAGCCCCAGTCATAGGCACACATCCAGAGTGGATGGATATGGGCAACTATCAGTTTACCATCCAAGCGAATAAGCCATGCTTTATCCATGCCAATGTAAAGAAGAGCTTTTAAACTATGGGGGTGATGATCAGCTGTTGGACTTGGTAGTTAATTCCTAATTCCTCGACTAATTATTCTAAATAGGCAACTGTTCCATGTCTGATTACCTGTTTTTGCTCTAATTTTTTGCCTTCGTGGGTCACTCTACCAATCAGAACAAACTAATGTGTGTTGTGGTGGTAGGCAGAGGTACAACTGATGGAATTACATATTCATTCCTGAAGGTTTAGTCAGTTGAAAGTTTATGGAAGCTAAAAAAAACCAAAAGGGGGGTTTTGATATGAACTCTAAACTCATAAATCACTAAATAATTATGGGGATATTTATACAGTATAACGTAATATAGTATACAAATATATGCAACAAATACACTTCCTTGTCTCCCACTTGTATAAAGCAACCTCAGTCATTTGTAATAGCCGTTCGGTGTAAACATTTTTTTTCCTTTTCTGTGATATAAACGATATTCTGTAGCTTGTGTAATATACTTTTGCTTCCCATAGAGAAGAGAAATGACCCTTCTCCTTATGTTATTACAGAAGTGGAAGAAAGTATGGGGAGTTTTGCATGAAGCCACGGCCACAGGACTGGCCCGCCTAGAGCTGTACGAGGGTTCTCAGCCCCCCGAGACTAGTCGCAAACAAGAATGCTGGAAAATACTTCAGCTCAGCGAATGTGTAAGCTTATCACAGCGCTCTGCTGAGAGCGGCCCAAAGGACACCCGGGTCTTCAGCATCGAGACTACCCAGAGGGTATATCTTATTGCCAGCGAGGCCTCCGAAGAGCCAAACTGGGTGAGGGCGCTCTGCAGCTTGGCATTCCCACAGGTAAGACATGGTTCCACCAAGCATGTTAAAATGGCGGAGCTTAGGCAGCTTGCAGCTTTCTACTTGGCATGTTTTTGTTGTGTGTATTCTTAAAAGTGCTGGGGTATTGGCCGTATTGTCTACTGTTGGATTTCTTCAATACTACCCTAAGCCGCAAACCATTACTTGACCCTTAATCTAAACGCTAAGCCTAATCCTTAACCCCAACCCATTCCCTAAACCTATCCAGTAACCTATACCCTAGATCAAAAGCAGGGACGTGCGGTCAGGGGAGGCACAGCCTCACCTAGTATTATGGAGGAAAAAGCTGTCAGCTTCAAGTCTGAACTGACATCTTTTCTTCCATTCAGATCGGCTTGTCACAGGCTACAGAGAAGGGAAAGCCTCCCCGTTGTGTAACCTATCATGGACGGAGCGCTGCCTGTTAATTACAGGCGGCTCTGCATCCGGATTTTGACAGGTAGTTAGGTTACACAGCAGCGGGCTTCCCCACTGCTTGTGTAACCTAACTAGTGAGACAAGATCTGTCACAGCCTAGAGGTGTGAGCCCTGTGGATGGCTTGGACCAATGGCAAAGCGCAAATTGGTCCAAGCTGTCCAATCAAAAAAGGAAAAAAAACCCCCACTGAGGCTATCGATCTCGATGTCTCAGCAGTGACGAGCAAGTGAGGCACAGGGAGGCTCCTCCCTGTCTCCTTCACACTAGCTTGGGGACGGGGTTGTGGCCGGCGGGGGCGGGTCTGTGGGGAGCGCAGCTTCGGC